ATTGCAAAACTATGTCCATATATGAATGCCGGCTATTCAGTGCCTCTTTAGTTTATGTAAAACAGTTTTCTTCGAAGAAAGCACGTTATGTTGGCCGCATGCCGGTTATTCAGCACTCACCAATTTAAGCTGAGCACTGAAACGTGCTGTCTCGTCGGGTATTTGATGCCTGATAAACGAGTCGCAGTATTTATCAACTACCTGCCCCCTTTTCACCTGAACTCAGGTTATGAACGTTTTTAGCGAGTAGGAAGAGGAGTGTTATCGTCCGCAGAAACACAAAACAACGGCTTTAGGATATTATTTATGTAAATGGTGCATAATTCACACTTCTTCAAAGATGATCAGAATTCAGGATCAGGATTCCGCCAGTCCCTTTCAGAGGAAGAATCTGATGTGGCGTTGTTTCGGTGGCGGTCTTGAAAGGAAAAAGATCCAGGATTAGTGACGAATGCTTGTCCATCCGGAATGACACCTTTGGTGCATTTTGAATGCTAGACTATATATATTATATATATATATATATATATACATATATATACATATATATACATATATATATATATATATGTACATATATATATCATAATTATATAATATATATATAGGTACATATATATATATATATATATATATATATATATATATATATATCTATTATATATATATATATATACATATATATATATATATGTAATAAGTATATATATATAATAGTAATATATATAGTATGCGCGGATAGTAATATGACAATATATACATCTTAACAAGAAGTTAAAAAAACTACGGACGTTCCTATACGTTCTATATACATGCTATCATTTCAACAGTGAATTCCCTATGTTGTAAAGGCTTGTTTTAATGTTAGAAATTGACATCCTTTCACGCTTTTTTACATCCACACACCCTACCAAAAACGGATTTTGAAACACTGTACAATGGGATATGTTGCAGGTGGTTGACCTTCCTGGAAATACTAACCTATCAAGATCACAGACCTATCAAGAAAACCGTGATAGATGTCATCAGAAACCCGACGTTCAGGATCGTTGCTCATGGTCACGAGCGGCAATAGTCCGTTGGCAGCGTCATGTGTACCAGTGCCTGCGTGCCAACACACTGAAGGTTGATTATTTGCCACATAAGAGCTCATAATGCCGAAAACCATGAGCTGAATATTGGTTCTACTCACAACAAAGCCATCGTGTTGCGCAATATCCCTTCCTCCCTATCTTCTATGTTCTCTTAGCTTATTTTGCTATATAATTTTTCTAATGATCTCTATATGATTTGTCTTGCTTTTCTATTTCTTCTTACATTTCTATCTAATCTATATTCTCTTAGCGACTGGCCGATTCGCAGTCGATTAGCACTCGGCACTCTGCATTCTTCGCTGCCCTGAAAAAGCTTCAACTAAGACGCAAGCGACCATTTCGGCCTAAGAATATTTACATGTTTTTTGCGGTGCGTTCCGTGCATCTTTTCGCATGCCTCCACATACGTTATATATAACACTGAAGAGCAGGATTCCCACTCAACCCAGCGATGTATATATTGCGGGCCAGTAATTCCACGGACCTCGGAAAAAGGCAGACGCAATACCGCTATGTCGCTCGCAGAACAATATGTCAGCCAATGCTAAGCCTATGGGACAGACTTGCTCTCGCTGCATGGCGCACAGTGGTCTGATCTAGACCAAAGTGCTGCATAAACCTTTCTCCGGCCGCGCTAACTGAGAACATATGAGGTTCTGGGGATGTATTACCGAGCGTTCTCGAGTTATTAGAGGCCAAACGACAGAGTTCTCCATTTACCACGCAAGGTACACAAGATAAGCTGGTCGTTACGAATCCATGGGCTTTCTTCTGTGAAATGATGTGGTAGGTTATGTTTCATATCTAACGCTGTCTGTTCTGCAAGCCAGCAGCATCGTCGGCAAGACATTACCAAGACACACGTATACACGAAACGATGTAGCGCGTCCTCGCATCGGACATACCAGACTTACAGACTGCTTCATAACTGCGGGCATTCCCCTGCGGTACACCATTGGTGCGCAGTCCCATATGTAATTTCACACTTTCTTCTTGATGACCCGGCCTATCGTCAATCTCATCAACCTCATCAACCTATCAGACCATATATCAAAAAGTCGCCTTTTCTTCTTTCCCGAATATTTTCTTGGTGAACCTCATTGTCACCTCAACTCCCTCTTCTTTCGATTATTCATGAAACAGGATCACTTTATTTTACATCACGGTAAGTTTGGCAAACCACACCATTTGACAAAAGCGCATGATTCATTATCCACTTCACCCCCGCCCTCATACGGGATGGTCGATGCGACCCCATCTAAGGCGTTTTGAGAATACCTTTCCAGCATGTTGGGCAATGACGCCCATCTGTTCAGCAGTCTAATCCTGGGGCGTACATTGAGCGTGTTTTTACACAAAAAATGTGCTTTCAGTTTTTCTAGTTTCCGGCAACGGCGGCTTTTCTCGGGAACGACGATCTACGGTCGGCACGGGCGGCGAGCGGCGACCGACGATGCCGCAGAACGCGCGCGGCGGGCCGACATTGTCACATTAACGGAGACATGTATCATAAAAATATGCTCAAAACACATACAGATATACACAGCTATACTCAGAATTTGACAAGAAGCACACATGTTGAAGTTTTGTGTCGCCACAAAGTGTAGTCTCGAATGTACGTTTTAAAGCTGAAGAGCGGGATTTTCTGAAAATCTAATCTCCGACGTGACTCAAGCGGATCAGTCAGGGCGATGGTTGGGTAAGATCTTGGTTTTTGTGCGGTTATGGACACTAAGCGGCCACCGATTCTGTTACTGGGTACACACTCGCTGTCTTTGTGTGCTCATTCTGTTACTGTGTACACACTCACTGTCGCTGTGTGCTCACTCTGTTGCTGCGTGCGCACTCACTGTCGCTGTGTGCTTATTCTGTTACTGCGTACACACTGGCTGTCGCGCACACTCGCTGCTGCTGTGTGCTCATTCTGTTACTGTGTACGCACTCACTGCCGCTGCGTGCTTATTCTGTTACTGTGTACACACTCGCTGCCGCTGTGTGCCCATTCCGTTTCTGTGTACACACTCGCTGTCGCTGTGTGCCCATTTGGTTACTGTGCACACCGGTGCACCTTACTTTACCTGTGTGCCGTTGAAATACACTTTCATATGACTGTAACTTCCCTGGCTTCTACGGCTGCCAATTCAGAGCCTCCCTTCAATGGTAGAGACGTGTAACTCAGCACGAGCACCCCCCCCCCCCCCCACACCGTAGGGTGAAGCCCTCGGACCCCAGAGTATCTGCCCATCCACTGGCACATATGACATTATCATGCATGCCAAAGTTCACCGTCTTGGCAATTGTAGGTTGGAAACAATGACAGAGCGGTGTTAAACTTAGCTCACAGCTCACGTGCGAAATGTAGCCTGTTATTGGCCAGATTAGATTGAAACTGATCACCCAACCGCACTTCTATCTTCAAAGCCGTACCACACCAGGCCGTGCTGTCTAAGCCTCTGCAATAGGGTCCCAAGGAAAAGGGGTGCAGAAGTTGAGCACGATCCCTGTACCTGCATCTTGGCATGCAACACCTTAAGTTGGTCACCGATCGATTGCCCCGCTGGCAGCCCCTCCATCCAACGGATTTCTGTCGGCCAGTCCACTGTTTCCGGCACCCGAAGGACCCCGAATCCAAGTCTTTGTACACGTCTTCAGGTCACATCGCTGGCCGCACACGGTTCCTGACCATAAAATCTCGTATTTCGCAATGGCCCCATGCTGCCATCCGGCCTCGTGCCAGAAGCACCTTCCGTTTGACCTGAAGTTACCATTTATTCTGTAAATTCTGCAGAGGTACGGCTGACGGCATGCACCAGTGCGCCACGTGTCACTGATCGATTGAAAACCATCGCCACAGTCTCGCCGCCGAGGCGGTGCATCAGATGGTGTAGCTCGTGTCGCGATTCGTCGGCCACACACGCACGCACGCCCACCCGCACGCGCGCACGCGTACGCACGTACACGCACACGCACACACATGCACACACAAACTCACGCACACTCACACGCACATACACACACGCACACACACGCACACGCACACGCACGCATGCACGTACACACACACACCATGCACGCACGCACGCACGCACACCACACACGCGCACGCACGCACTCACTACCACACACACGCACAGACAAACATTGAGTTCAGAACTTTTCCGAACAACCCAAATATCCTCCCTTAGAACATGCAGGACCGCCCCCACGATGGATCCAGAGCCCTCGTAAATACGCATAGATGGATCGAGTAAACGTGCCGCCAACCACCACACTTGAACTATTGCTTTGCTAAAAGCGTGCAAAGCACACCTGAGCTCTTTCGATTTTATACACGTTGCGAACCCTTCGCTATCTACCACTATGATCACTGTGATCAAATATACCTTTCGGAACATTTTCCGGGCACCACAAATATAAATCGACGATACTTTAGATGTACACCGAGCATGAAATGAATGATCCGCTCCAACATCACAGAAATTCTCACGAATCCTTCCGGCTTCGCAATAGGCTCCTGGCAAATGGAAACCTCATTTCACCAGCCGAATGTTCGACCCTTTGGCACATACGCACGTGACAATATGTTGCATCAGCCTAGCCGATGCATGTTTCGCATTCCGCCGCATGAGTCCCGCGTGACGTCACGACCGCGAGCCACGCATTGTTCCTTTGATCGAGCATGGGGCTCCAGCCGGACCTGGCTCAACCGCCGATGGCCGATCAGCAGGATGGCAGCTCAGGTGACCACCTCGCCAGCCGTGCACCTGCTTCACGTCTGCCCGCACCAGAGCCTGTGGTTGGCGCAGCGCTAGGGCCTGTGGTTGGCACAGCGCAAGTCTGTGGCCGTTGCAACGTTAGGGCCTGTGGTCGTGTGCTTACCCAAGGTCAGAAGCAGTACATGCTTACCCGGTGTCGGAGGTTGTAGGTGAGCACCAGGTTCCTGGCGAAGGAGTTGGCGAAGGCGTGGTAGAAGTCGAGCACCTCCAGCAGCTTGTCCCGCTTGATGGTGTGCAGGTCGCAATAGGTGAGGGCGCGCACGTTGGCCGCCGCCTGGCCTACGGTCGGGTCTTTCCAGAAGGTGTCTCCAAACACATCCCCCTGACCTGAAGACGGCAAGGAAGGGGGGGGGGAGGCGTCAAGCGAATTGAGAACTGAGTTGCGAATTCAGTTCTTATGGCACATGTACAGCGGCCTGAATTTGTAGATGCAAGTGCCACGGTTGCCTGGTCTGGCAACAAAAGACAGGATACACTGATTCTGGAGTGCCCGTTGCCAGTATCTCGGGCGCTTGGTTAACACACGGCTTTTGAAACGGTTCGCCTCAGCTCACAACAATCGGCCAAAAGCTGATAGGTGCGGCGCATATGCACTACCACGCCAGCGATCTGAGCCGCAAGCCCGGCCGAAAGGTTTTATTTTATTCACCGTTCAAAACGAGGCGCATTTCAGTTTTAAACTGAGGTTAAAACACCAGACATAAATCAAAAACCGTTTGAAAACAGCGGCACGGTCGTATCAGTCGTATCAGTCGTACGACGATCAAAACGATTGGTCAAGACAAACTGAGAGCAGGTCTCGCAGCTAAGGTCAGTGGTCGTTCGTGCCGTTTTTCCCACCCAGCCGTCAAATGGTCCCCTGTTGGGAATCAGTAACATGGAAGAGACAACCGTTGCAACCGTCAATTTGAGCAAGGGTGCACACATTGAGTGGCAACTGCCTTCCGCGTCTGAATTTTAAGTCCTTCCTCAAAACGTGATGTTAAACGATTAATACTCGAGTCAGAGCACCTCGCAAAAAGCTTACGTAATTACCGGGATTGAAATAAGTGAAATGGGAACGGTTCTTCTGCGCTGAATGAGGCGGGCGCCAACGAAGCCATGCACATACATGACAACGTCATCACATCTCACTTGCACAGAGTACCCAAGCACACCCAGAAATAGCTATGCCTCCCTTCCCCTCCCCTCCAAAGTTTGGGGCGACTTGTTCTGTCGATGCTCCAGCTGCCATCAACCAACTGGTGATACAAGTCAACAGACGCAGACTTTCATTTCAGACTTTTCTCGATAACCTGGTAGAAGTAATGTCCCACGAGATGCATTAATGCGAAAGTTTAAAACAATGCTGCGTTATCAGTGAACAATTGCGTAACTTTATCTCAGCAAAGTGAAAAGTCATGTGATGTTCGGAACTCCTTCACGCTCTACGCTCTTCCACGCGACTCGCCGTCTCATTGAAAACCTGTCGTTATGTTCCAAGAGCCTGCAATCCTGTGAGTTGACGCACGAATGGATGGGGGTGCCATTTAGCGGCAACCCGATGTCTTCCAAGTTGATCGTGACGGCAGGCGAGGAGAGCATTCGATATTTCTGCAGTCAAACACAGTGGCATAATAAATACGGCAGCTAGCTTCCGTTGTAAGCTTAAGCGTACTTCGGTAGTGTAAGTAGTGGCATGCTATTCATAGCACGCGCTCCAGACCCTTGAAGAAAGTACCGCTCATGACGAACAGTGAAGAACGGTGCCTACAGGTTAGGTACGCTGGGCGGATGACCAGCAAATGCACCGCGGGTCTTCCGAGTCCGCAGTGTTTCGAGTGTGATTAGCGCTTATTTAGGTTTCCATATCCAGACGAAGCAGTGCTCCGGTGGCAGCGTCGCACGCGCACGCGCGCTGTATGCGTATGCGCGCGCGCGCGCGTGTGTGTGTGTGTTGTGTGTGTGTGGGTGTGTGTGTGTGGTGTGTGTGTGTGTGTGTGTGTGTGTGTGTGTGTGTGTGTGTGTGTGTTCTTCACCGTTTATTTCCGTACTATGATTAGCTAGCGTGACCTTAATGCGGCGAGTTACCATTATTTCGCGAAGGGTGGGAAACAAAGCCATATCCAGCCGGGATAAATTCTGTCGTAGTTCCATTTGTTTGACGTGTGTAAAAGGGTGTCTGTGGTTCCAATGCCCTGATACGCACGTGTTTCACGTAAGCGAAGCGACGGTAGTCTTCATGTTGTCATGAGTACTAAACTCGTGGTGTTCATAATGGATATGTCACAGAAAATTATACATTGGGCTGCCGCCATATTAAGTGTCTTCGCGCGTGCACCTAATAAAAGCACTTACCGGACAGGTTAACAGGTTAACCCGGACAGGACAGGACAGGTTACAGGTTAACCCGGACAGGACAGGACAGGTTAACAGGTTAACCCGGACAGGACAGGAACAGTTAACTGTACATTGCATTGGGATAGCTAGTGCTGCAAGGACACCTGGTGCTCGGTTATTGCTCGGCGGGTATAAATCGAACGCCAATACTGCGGCTGGATCAGAAACTAGTGCCAGGCGTTATGGCACCATTTATAGGCGTGGGTAATTGATGCTTCTCATGGCAATATCGTTCGTTGAGCCTGATGTTGTATCAGTAAGTCGTACAGCAATCAATGTAAAGTATGTCGGCCGTTCTAGGGAAGTCCGCCGACTATCAGGACAGTAATGTCCATGATGTGGTCATTATAGATACCAACCCAACGCCAGCCAGACGTGGTTGCGTTTTGAGCAGTCGTTAAATACCTCGATATGTCCGGAATCTCTCTACTTGTCAATTGCAATAGCGCGTTACTCACGGCTGGCAGTAACGTCCAGACAACCATTATGACACTGGGACTCGCTGAATATTAGCAAACATAAAAATGGTTCGGTATTTTTTAAAAGCCGCTTAAGTACCAAGATTGCAAACGCAGGTTGCCATGAAAGCTCCGATCCATCACCACGGTCGAGCAATTTCACTTCATGGGACAGCTATTTCTTCCCCGCACATGTCTCCAAACACCAAAACATTTCAAAATCGTAGGCACCGCATGACACCGTTCAATACCACGCATGACACGTTTGGATGTTTTGTGACAATTACCGACCACATCATTAAGTCCAACATGACTGTCATACAAATCTATCTGCTATCTGG